ATGGATGTATAAATGTATAAATGGATGTATGAATGGATGTATGAATGGATGTATGAATGTATACATGTATAAATGGATGTATAAATGTATAATCATGAATGTAGTACTCTCTCCATCCATGATTATTTTCTGCGAGTCTTAGAATTTTCCTTGATATACTGTATTTTGGGAATGAACAGACACATGAACACTTAGGAAAAATATCAGCTATCTTCGCCTTTTGGTGATAAACAATATACTTCAGCAGCTTTAAGAAAATAAATATTTATTTGGATAATCGACAGCAAACAATACTTCTGTTAACAATACCAATAACAGTCAAATTACAGTAAATCTCGGCTTTAAAACGCACCTGTCTGTCTCTAAGCTGCACTCGTTAAATATAAGATAAATCACAATTTTGTACATAAATAAGACGCTCTGGTTATTAAGCCGCAGGGATCAACTGTTCATAGTCAGGATCTGTGCCCCCAGTCTGCTCCGACTGCCTTTCTTGTTGTAGTACAAGAATCAGGCAGCAGATAGTGTTTCACAGAACATAGCTTACTTTTAACATCCATTCAGTCTACAAGATCATCGCAAGTCTTCATGAAGCTTCACTGTCTGACTCATGGTTACAACCATTATACCTTCAAAATGAACACAATAACTCTCCAAGCATAATCAATGGACAGAACAGTGCCAAACACCTACGTAACCGAAATTATTTTAAAATTATTTACCGGGAAATTTTACCCAGAGTCTTTTCGAGGTCATGTGACCGGAAGTCAAATGGTACTTGTAGAATGCGGTAAATATGAATTAAATTAGTACTATTGATTTTTATTGGTAAACACTTTAGTAACACTTTCTAAATAAATTTGATATGATTTCTCCTCAGCACTGATCATATGGGGAGGAGGGCAGAAGGAAGGGGAACAGCCCTCATGTAGTGCTCCTCCGTTCTGTTTAATGCCCCCGTTTAAGCTGAAATTAGATACTGGGATTTAAACACATATTTACAGTACACAGAAATATACATGTTTTACTTTTATTTAAATATTTACCAGTCTTGATGACTGCTTTAAAAATAAATCTGCCGACTTCTCCACCGTTGAGCTCTCATGAAGGAAAGGGGGGCAGACTCCTTCCGTTTCTTCGCTTCATGTTCGGATGAGAGTTTAAAATGAGATCCCGGTACTTATACGCATTATTACTGACACAGAAAGATGTCGCACAGACAGAATTTAAAAACATATTAAAACATGTGCCAAACTTCTTGACTGCTTTTGCGTCTCCAAATCCTGACCATCGACACACGTTGATGCAGCTTACATGCAGCCGTTTCCTCCTTCGACAACAATCGCTTTTAACGTGAAAGCTGCGTCAGAAGAAATTCGCCGTGCGTTTTCCTTTATCGCTGAACAAATGAACAGGTCTGTGCATGAGGTGCAAAATACGATAAACAATAACGGAACTATCTGAAGAAATTAGTTCACGTCTATCTTGGGGGATGGTCCTCGAGAGCACCTCATTGGTCATTCAGGGTAGACTTCTGGTCACATGATGACAGAGTGGGTGGAGTTATGGTTGGGTATTTGAAACTGTGAGCAAGAGTCGTACATCTGATTACCTGAGGGCATTCCCTCTGTCACAAACACCTGCCCCCATGAGGGGCGGGGTACTGGGAGCCACAAACACCCAGCTCTGTCAAAGGAAAATGTTAGTCAGAGACCTTTCAAAATAAAATAAACAAGTATAAATTTGGAAAATTATTTTAAAAATAACATAAATATAACCCTCCTGCATATAAACCATTCATTGGCAATTACGGCAGTTTTTTTTTAAAGTCTGAACATAATTTTCCTGGCCTTCTGCAATCATTTACTCTTGAAATGTTTAGAGACCTGACCCGTCTCCCACTTCCTGTAGCACACAGCATCACATGCTGCTGACGTAGCAGCACATGCTGCTGACGTAGCAGCACAGTGAGGCTGCAACACTTCCTGAGCCGAAAAATCACACCCAGCTCCATGCATGTGCCAAACAGGAAATAATTGGTACATTCATTCTTAAACTGGAAAAGATGTTCCTGACCAGCTCAGTCTGCAGATTCACTCACTCAGCTGCTCAAACGCCTTTCAAACCGCACGCTTATAAAAACAAGACAAGTTGTTTGTGAGGAAACAGTTGGGACAAAACACAAAGCAGATTTTCCACCATTATCAATGACAGGATAATGTTACAACTAATTATCTGGTTTAAACCAATTCTAGACTTAAAAGATATGCAACAAACTATTGTGTACGGAACGTTTTTTATTAGGATTGACGCAGGGTGTTTGAGTGAACCAGATATTTGTGCAACACTGCTTCAGCAACAACTTTACACAAAAAGCACATCACATGACTCAAAGTGTCACCTCAGGAAATTAAAGTGAAAACATCATTTGCTGCAAGTTTTCTAAGGTATGACACAAAAAGTGAAACTTTCCAGAATTTAGCAACAACAGACGTTTTTCATATTTCAAATGATCATCACCTGCTGCTGAAAGGTGAAGGCAAACTAAAATGTTTTAGCCTGCGCACGTGTGTGTGCGCATGCAAGTCTGTATGTTACCATTGTATAAAACTGAACAGTTTTTAATAAAAGTTCCAGGAAATAATCACAGGATGCCACGTACAAACTCATTAACTTTTGGAGTTCATCAGTTAGCAATAACCTCCGAAGCTAATCAATATTAGCCAACACAAAAACAACAACGACTTGGCTAGTTTCACAGAGGTTAGCATTAGTCACTCATAACTCATTATTTGTTACGTCTCTCAGGAGTGTGCATTCTTACAAGAAATGCTACGCCTTTTATTTACTCAGTTACTTGATGCATGTACTTTAAAAAGTTTTTAAAGTTTGTATTTCTAACTAGGCTTTTTAGCAACTAATGTGCAGACTTTGAGTCAGTAAAGTAAAATGGTATACAGTAGTCCCTCGCTACTTCGCGATTCGACGTTCGCGGACTCGCTCTTTCACAATTTTTCTACGCAAGATTGAACACGACACACAATTGTAAACTTTATTATTACTCACATGATTGGGATGGTATGCGATTAAAAAGTTAACAAAAAAAAACAACAACTTTGGACAGGCACCATTTTGTAGTTTTCTTACACTGTAATGCAGGTCAAAAGAACTACATGACCCAGAAGCCAACAGTGCTTCTGGACACTGCGTTCTGCCGAAATGGAGGGAAAGTTCAGCAACACAAAGTCAGAAGTAACGATCTATCTATGAAGATCACAGAACTGCTAGGAAAGTCACAAATAATCCTGAAGCTTCCTGACCCTGAAGATCAATTATCCATGTGCTGGACAGGGGGCGGGGCTTCATCGCTGCAGGGCAGGTCTGCAGAACTGGAACCAAGCTGCTGATCTGCAGAGCTGGTGAGTATCCATATAAAACTTTGCTGAAATATACAGCATATATACGTATGTTGGTAAAAACTACGTACGTTTAAGAGTTTAGAACATTGCAGGAGTGTGGGCAGGATTTATAAATCCTTAAAATATAGAAATACTAAAATAAATATAACGTTCCTACTTTGCGGTTTTGCACCTATCGCGGTGGTGTCTGGAACGTAACCCCCACGTTAACCGAGGGACTACTGTAACATGAAGAAAAGATTTGTTCACAAAAAGCAGTTCATAAACAAACATCACCCAACATGTATTCGAGTATCCATGTCTTTTGCTTACCGATGACAACAAACGTTACTGTAAAGCATGACTTGGGAATTATTTCAAAAATAAATATAGAAAACATCATAGAAAACCAAACTGTTTTGAACCTGCAGACAGCTGTGTTTAGGTGTTACATCTGCAGATGGAAAACAAGACAGAAGGCTTCACTAATCCCAAATCCTAAACTACAGCTGCTTGGTTACACAACACCACAGCACAGCTTCAAGTGAGACACCCCGTTACACTGGAACTACCAGCACAGCAGATATTTGGAAGGAAGTAAACCTTGACAGCAGGAAAAAGACCTTGGTCAGCTGTTTGAAGAGTGAAAGGTCAGTTATCTCTTCTGCCAGAGAAAGATAACTGCTGATGGCATGAATAGCTGCAACTGCTTTTGATCCAGTCTTAAAATAATATGACTTACACACCTAGATGTCATCTCTAATTTAAAAAAAAAAAAAAAAAGAAGTGTTACTTTGATGAAAATATACATTGTGTCTCGGAATAAAGCGTACACAAGTCGACTCAGTTAAACGTGGAGATTCTTCATATTTCCAGCAACTGGTAGTATAATCTGGCAACTGGCTTGTAGACCTAGCTAGTGCCAGACAAGTTCACTCAGTGGCTAGCTCTGACAGCTAAAGTTAGCTACTAGCTGTTCTGTTTGCCTGCTTTGTGGCACACTGACATCTCTCCGTGCACCCCACCCCAAACACCGAGCACAATAAAATGTCAAAAACTCGCGGTTACTAATCATTAGTAAATGGTTGCGTCTACCGTTAGCTCCGGCTAACAGGCTCGGTGTCGCCCCTGAAGCGTTAATATAATATAGCATGTGGTGTAAGCACAGGCTGTGCAACTTAATACTCACAGGATGCCGGAGCAGGAGGTGCACACGAACGAGCCCACAGTCATGTTGGCATAGGTTGGGCCGCGCTGATCGCAGTCAAAGCACTTTCTGTTGGGAGGCAAACTCGTCATTTCCCTCAGCATCTTCAGGTGTTTCTCCTCTTGTTTTCGTTTTGCGCTCGCCGCCATGGTGAAAGGACACACAGTGCAAATAATTACAGCCGAGGAGAAGTCCAAAGGTCAGCTACAACTACAACAAAGGGCTGTGCTCTTTAACGGTTGCCGACTCGCGATAACCGCAGCCAGGGGGCGGGTGCAGTGGCTCCGTTATCAGGGCGGCCTCGCGTCTCCTCGACCAAGGAGGTTCAGGTTTTCAGATCAAAAGGAAACAAGCGACTTCCCCTCCATCTACTTCCGCTTTCGCCAAAATCCCGTTAGGCAGAGTCCAACGCTCCTGTTTTTGGTGTCAGGTTGAAATATTAGACTGTTTAACGAAAATATGTTGAATCTAAGACAGCATTGTGATTATGCATTAAAAATATAATGCGGCCCAAAAGGACATGCGTCTTGTTTACAGAAAGTTTATGGATTAGCATGGGCTGGACAAAATATGTAAGCTACTATAACCAGAGTTTTTTATTGATTTACCCGATTTATTTTTGACTCGAGTGTTTAGAAAACATTATTTAGACATTAATGTCGTAATATTCAGTTTAGAATGTGAGCTAGAAAGGCCTGAGTAAGAACTATCTTGTCTTATACTATCTTTGGCAATACTGATGACAGCGCAGACAAGTCTTAATCACATCAGCGCCGCCTTGCGGACTAATGTAGTCACTGCAATACAATTGAAAGATAATTTACTGAACAAGTGTACAGTAAAAAAAAAAAAAAAAAATTTGTTTTTAGGCAATTATTTAAAAACGTGCAAGTAAAAAAAAAAAAAAAAAAGTATATTGCAGTGTGCAAAAAAAACATTTGCTTAACCATGCAAGTATGATATAGACCTGCCATCAGACATTTAATATGTGATGTTTCTAAAAAATGTGAGAAGAAATTAATTAAACTGTATCATATCTGTCTGCATGATTGCAATAACAATAAATAAATAAAGATGCATACGCATCGTTAAAAAGAATTCTTGAGAAAACATTATACACGTATATGTATAAATTTTATTCAGTTTGCAAAGCAAGATGCACACAAACACCATCTGCATTATTTACAAGTGAAGAATCAGATGTCAGGGCTAATTTCTCCAATATACCAAAGAATCTGCTGTTTATCAACAAGCAAAATTAATTACTGAATATAAGATCATATCAACACAAACCAGGCGGTCTGTTTAACACAGCAGTTATTAGACTTCTCATTCAGACGAGACCGCTGCTCCTGCAACGTAAAAGCTCATCAGAATTGTCCTATAGTGTACTTGTTAGTAACACTTTAGGAACACAGATTTAACCATCATCTGTGAAAGGTTCAAGCCAATCTGTGCTTCTTGTACTTCGTTTTATACTGTAGTATAACTGATGTGAATTAATTGCTGCTGGCTGAATGAAGTAACGGTTGTTGAGGCTGCTGTTGTGGAGGGAAGTTGAAGGGTTTGCGGTTTTCAATGTAACCGTAAAGTTTGCGAAGAGCCACTCGTGCTGCTTCTTCCTCAGCTCCAACAAGCGTCTCTCCTGGACCCTGAGCCAGGAACTTCTTATCACTGAGTTAACCAAAAAAAAAATAAAAAAAAGACAAGAAAATAAGAACAATGTCGATTATCATTTCACCAAACTCTCAAATATAACTTAATGGTGCTCATTTGGACATGGCAGACGCATTAGAAGCATAAAAATTTAAATCATTTAAAATGTCTACTTATAAAAAAAAAGAACATTAACATTATACATACCTGTATAGGCCTACAAAGTAGAGTGGTAGGACAGTACTGGTTCCAGCAGCTCTGATGAGACGAGGCTCTGGCAAAGCAACGCTTCTCTTTGTCATTTCCTCCACCAGTAACCCCATAGGGTTGACCACAGTCCACATGTCGAACAGGTCTTTTCCTATTAGCTGAGTTACCAGGAAGTCCTGGGGAGGAGCAGAGAAGAATACTGTCACAAAACTGTAAACAACTGAGCTAACTAGATTAAGGATGAGCTCATTATAATACAATTAAAAACCAATCTCCATGCAGCAAGGGATTATTTGCAGCTAGCCTCTTACTCTAAGAAAAAATCCAGTTCTCTCAGCTCCACTGCTTTCCTGCAGAGCTCCGATCACAGCCATGAATGTAGAACAGAGCACATCATCTGGAACGGGGAACTCTGCACTCGAGGTAAGTTCCTCAACGCCCAAATTCCTTGCGATGTTCGTCACAACGGCTGGGCTGGTGAGATACCCCACAATACTCTCCACCCCCTCATCAGGCAGATTAGGGAAAGTTGCCCTGCACCAGTCAGTCAGGAAGCTTTTGGTCAAATCTGCTCCCTTCTGACTCAGCTGAACATTATCCTGAAGAACCAGAGCTGTGGTCTCTGAGTCCACACCAAACTCCTTCCTCTTCTCCTGCTCCGCCTGCACGTAGCACGGATTGACGAAGGCCGTTTTAAGTAGATCCAGGGAGAAGTTCTCATGGAGGCGGGTGCTGAAAGCTTGAACCTCAGCTTGATAATCCCAGTTAGGATGCTGCGACCTGAAACACAATCAAACATGGAGCTGATTTTTAAACTCATCTGTGATAATATACAATGAGTCATAAATAAACACTGAAAAAAAAAGCGTATTTTTTCTGACTGATTAACTTGATATAAATAAAAAAGTGGACATTTATCCAGTCCTGATCACACTTTAGCATCAACATGCTCCGAAAGACTCAAATGACAAACGTGTAATATTCAATGCGTTTATCTAATGTTCCCAACCATTCACTATGTGTGCGACTCTTCTTTAAAGAAATGAATTCATGTGAATCAGTGTGCAACATAATACGGTGCTTTTTGAACCCAAGTTGAATTTCTCTACGTTAATCTACTGGAATACACTTTGGAAAAGTCTGTTTTATAATAGCTATTCAAAAATCAAAACTTGGGACAAAAACAATCTAGATTTCATTTTAAAAGTTAAACCTTGAACACACATTTCTGTCTATATCACAGTGAAAACATATTACATATTATATTAGGGTTTTGTATTGTGACAAAAAAGCAGCAGGTTAAGTATTTTTCGCCCTATAAGTCAGTTTTTTGTATTATTTAAATGCCCTGTGATTTATATGCCAAAGCGACATATTTATGGATTTTTCCCCATATTTATAAACAAGTTTTTGGCTGAGATATGACTGTTTTCATTCATTCTGACTGAAAATATTGAACACTACCATTTTCAGCCACTAGATGGCACTCAAGTAGTATGGCATGCCATTGTATCGTGTCATAGGTAAAAGTGGTATTAATGGCAAAATTGGCTTGCCACAGACTGTTACTATAATTTAGAGCAAACAAATAATTGTTTTTAAGTGTTAATCTTGTTAAATTCTTGTTAAAGTCCTCCCGTGCATGCCCCCGCAGTCGCCATTTGGCACAACACTGGCCCACATTTCCAGGTTGTCAGCGGTGACGCGTAACCAACGCGAAGCATAACAAACACGACACGTCAGCGGTGACGCATAATAGATGCAATGTATACGGCGAAGCGATGTATTTATGGATTTTTCCACTTTATTAGACATACTGGGACTGATGCGACTTATATGGCGGTGCAACGTTTACGGCGAAAAATACGGTAGTTATAAAGTAAACCAATAAAAAGTTGTAAGAACTAAACGTCACTCTATGAGTAAAACCTGGCAAATGGAAATAGTACGACTTAACTAGCACCCACTATATGCACATCTACAACTGAAATCTTAGCGAAGAAAACTCATATTTAGGAAATCAATCCGAGATCCACTTTTTAAAAACCAGAAGTTTCATCTTAGACTTTGAAATGAAAACCTATTCCAGATATCTCTCATCTGAAATATCTAAAAACTCACTACAGTAGTCCCTCATTTATCGCAGGGTGTCTGTACTCTGAAGATCCGTGATAAGTGAAAAACTGCAAAGTGGGAATAGCAGTACAAGTAGTAGTTTATTTTATATATATATATATATATATATATATATATATATATATATATATAAGGTGTTTTAAACTCTTCCCACACTCTTGCAATATTCTAAACAATGTTTCTAAACGCCCTAAAAGAGCACAGCATGTCATGATTTCAGCTCCCTGCCTCCTCTGCCACCTGCAAACGCTCTTGGCCACGCCCACTTTTCCACTCTGCACGTTGAACAGCTGATCAGCTGCAGCAGGAAGTTTATCCTGCAGTGTGGGCTGCACAAAGGTGCAGCAGGTGCTAAATAATTAAAAATAATTAATTTTAAATAAAAATGTCATGCCGATCGTGCGGCTCATCCATCAATCAAATTGTGTCATGTCCAATCTTATTTTGAAAAACCGCAACAGAGCAAGTTTGCGATAAACGAACCGCAAAGTAGCGAGGGACTACTGGACTTGTTAAAATGTAATTTTGTATTCTTTTTATTTATGACAACAATTTTAAAAATAGTTATTCTTGAAGAGATGCATACAGCATCACCTACTGCCTTTCATGGACTGAGATCATCGTACGCTGAGAAGAGCTGTAGCTGGTTTGATCTAACTTTGAAAATAGCATGTGACATCATGCAATATTGTGAGATGTCACGCTAAGATCATGTGTTGTGAACAACCCACCCATCAATTTTAGACTGATGTCTGCAACACATTCTGACACAGCTTTTGTGTTGGGTAATGTTGATTAGTTGTATGGATCCACACCAAGGGTCAATCAGTTGTAGCTGTACATCCAATTCCAAAAGTTTTATTAAAATCTGTCCAGAGGTTCATGAGAAATTTTGCGAACAGACTATGTTAATATTAAGCTTTTAGACAAAATTTTACACAATGATTTAGAATTAGGGAATATATTGTGAATGAATCTCAGCTAACTATCTGTAAAACTGACTGAAGCGGAGCTGTTTAGTGTTTTCTAGGGCCAGCTGGCTGTGATGATGAAAGCCAATAATTATTGAAAACTGTAGTTATAAATATCTACAAAGTAAATTTAGATGTTCTTAGGAAATCAATAGAATGCCATTTCAACAATAAACAGGCTCAATGAATGAAAAGCATGGTAGAAACTGCATTGTTAGACATCTGAAACATGAGTTTCTCCTAAAAAAAAATCTGTTTCAGATACTAACAACATTCTTTGCAAATATAAAATGTATTATTAGTTATTGATATTACGCTTGAAAATCTTGTCTAACTGGTCCCGTTGAAGCAGATGTCCTCTTGTCCTGATCCTGGTTCTGCTAAAGGTTTCTTCCTCATGAGGGAGTTTTTCCTTTCCATTGCAATATTTGATTTTTAAGTCTGATTTTAGGATAAATTAAAAAAAAAAGCACAAAACTTAACAACTCTTCTACTGCTACACAGTTACAGTGCAGAACAGCATTTTTTTTATCTACTCTACTCTAATTTAACTTAAAACTATTTTGACGTGTACGCTAAGTGGCCTTGAGATGCTCCCAGGTTAGCTTTAGCATGCTGTTAGCTTTACCGTGGCTTCGGTGGAGGAGGTCCTTCAAGCTTTAACTTCTTCGCCATCAGGTACTCGTATGTCCTTACCCATCGTTTCTTCCCTCTAACCTGAGAAAGTGTAACATCTTTACAAACAAGCTGGCGATGTATTCCAAATGTTAGCACGCCGCGACAGAACATGTAACCTGCCGACATGTTTTCAACACTAGCAGCAGTACGGTGCAGCGGCTAAAAGTGTCCGACGCTGAACAACAAACAACATCCGGTGATTGGAACGCGCCGAGCGCGGGCGTTACCGTGGTAACGGAGTTACACAGTAGTAAAAGGTAACAAACCGAGCGGATTGCTGTGTGATATTTATCCTTTTAGACTCCTTAAAACCTGCAGTATATATATATATATTTGTTTTGAAAAGAAAAAAAAAAAGGTTTTGTTGCTTCTAAGGACTATACACACATTTTTTGGAGAAGACTATTGCTAAAGATTCCACCAAACGATGGAAAATCAACTGGAAGGCGGAGATACTGCAACATCTCGCAAAAACGGTACAGAAGACGTAAAGAAAGCTCAAGAAAAACAGGAGGATGAACTGAAGAAAAGCTCAATGCAAAAGAAAAACCTATCAGACCCACATATGACCAAGGCGTTCCTAAGAGACGTGTGCAAGAAGAACAACCTGTACTCCACACCTTGCCTGAATGACGCACTGTATCTGCATTTCAAAGGTTTCTCCGTCATCGAGAACCTGGAAGAGTACACAGGGCTGAAGTGTCTCTGGCTGGAATGTAATGGTCTGCAACGCATTGAGAACCTGGACGCTCAGACTGATCTACGCTGCTTGTTCCTCCAACAGAATCTCATTTATAAGCTGGAGAACCTTGAATCTCTGCGCAAGCTCTGCACCTTGAATGTCTCGAACAACTACATCCATGTTATAGAGAACATCGCTGGCCTTCCTGATCTGAGCACTCTGCAAATTGCCCACAACAGGTTGGAGTCTGTGGGGGACATAGAGCATCTGAGACAGTGTCCTGCAATTAATGTGTTGGACTTGTCCTACAATTTGCTCCATGATCCAGAGATCCTCTCTGTGCTCGAGGCCATGCCAGAACTGCGAGTGCTGAATCTGATGGGAAATCAAATGGTGAGAAGTATCCCGAACTACAGAAAGACTGTGATCGTACGCCTCAAGCAGCTCACTTTCCTCGACGATCGCCCCGTGTTCCCCAAAGATCGGGCGTGTGCAGAGGCGTGGGCCAGGGGAGGAGTGGAGGAGGAGTGCAAGGAGAGGAAGCAGTGGGAAACGAGGGAGAGGAAGAAAATCCAGGACAGTTTGGATGGAATGGCTCTGATCCGAAAAAAGGCTCAGGAGAGAAGGCGTTGGCGAGAGTTACAAGAAAAAGGTGCTCATTTGTCAGCTTTTGCAACACTAAAACACAATTATTGCGGATACTAACATAAAAATTACTTAATTCCAGGTGAAACTGGACGTCCTGCAACCCCAGAGATGCTTTGGAAAGAAGGCAGCATCCAGAGTTTGACTTCCTCTCAAGACAAGGTCCAGGTGTTTGTGGAGGATAGTCTGGGTGCACATGAACAGGTCTCAGAGAGTCCACGAGAACAAGAGGCAGATGAAAATCAGGTAAACGGTGAAGAGAAGCTGCAGAGAAAAAACGATGAGGGCCCATCACTGATGAAGGAAGTGACAGAAGAAGGAAAAGTGAACCTGGAGAAATGTGTCCAAGAACAGCCCGTTGCAGTAGAGCAGACAACAGAGGAACAAAATGGGGCAATGATAAATAAAGAAAAGGAGCAGCCTACCTTCATCAGATCGCTCCTTCCTGCAGCAGATGGGCTTGGATCTGTACACGGTCCTGGACCTCTGGTGACCGAACTGGAGGATGAAGAGCAGCTGGAAAACATTCACCTCTCCATGCACCGATCACTGCGTATCAGCGATCTGCCCGATTTGGAGGACGTGGATGTGGAGTTCAGTTCTCCTCAGCAGGTGATCACACCCAAAATAGAAGTCGTATCAGAAAGCAGTGATGGAGAAGCAGCTGGGGCTCCGAGCGACGGCACCTCCACCGTTAATCCAAGTGAAAACTTTTCATCAGGTGGCTCCAACATCTGCTAGGCTTTTTAGTAATTCATCACGGTTGTACCCAGAGGACACCAACATCTCTCCATACATGTCAGCCTGATTGAAGAACTGGATTGATACTTTTAGAATGGAGGATTTTTACTAGCCTGGTGCCTAATGAGCTGATTTTAAATATTGTTAAATACATATAGCCAAGTTTGACTTGATTGAAAAGTATATATCTGGTTTTCATTGCATGTATTTTAGAGCTACATAGCTGCTGTTTTATCTGTTCAACACACTGCAAACAATAAAATTCTGACTCGATCTGCTCAGATTTTCATTTTCATTTAGTATATATATTTTTTTTATTTATCTGAATAGTACAAAAAAATCAATAATCCACTGATTTGTATAAGAAAATATAAAAACTGACAGGACTGAAAAATATTGGGAAAATGTGTTTTTCTCAACGTCATTTGTGAGAAATCTTGTGCACGTTTTCATTTCCTGTACGAACAAAACACAGGACAACACATCGCAGGTGTAGTTTTACTAAGTTTTAATATATTTCCCAACACAAGTTGCATAATATTCTCCTTTTAAAATTCAGTGTATTACACAGCAGAGCTTCAAGCTGTACATCTTTCTTTTCCATCTTGATGGACTCAGCAATAATTTATTTGTGCATCTTCTAACAGACTTGAGTGCCCTTAGCAAACATTTACAAGTCTTATAGAGTGGCATTGAAAAAAAAAATGGAATAAAAGCTAAACAAGAGAAAACAGGATGAAATAGAAGTAAAAAAATAAAACTGTACATTTAAATAAACAAAATCAAAACATCAAGCCTGAGTGCAACGGGTCTCGTTCCAGGATCTTCTCACACGTTGCAGCGAGTAGCTAATGTTGGATGCAGCGGATAATGAACAGGAAGTTCTACTGTCGTGCCTGGGGCGGAAATACACACCAGCTTTAACGTCGCAACCACACCCACGTATTGATCAGCCAAAAAGCTACACTGATGGAGTACATGATCATTTCTCGCTTTGCGCGCTCCTTGTTCTCTTCTTCCAAGTGCTGGAGTCTCCGATTCAACTTGATCAGCTATTAAAAATAAAGAAAAGATTTCTACTTGGTCACAAAGGTTGTATTTACTATTTAATGGACTGTACTTATGTAGCATTTTTCTATCTAATCAAGACACTCAAAGCCTTTACAATCTGTGACCTCATTTACCTGCACCCATACATTCATACAGCACCCTACTACACCTCTACTACACCTCTACAGAGACTAATCAGAGCTTTAGATCACATTCATACACTGATAATACACATCACAGGCTATGAGAAGTTCAGTGTCTTGCCCAGGGGCACTTCAACATGTGACGGCTGGTGGAATCGAACCACAAACTCTCTTACTGAGGATGACCGCTCTAACCACTCAGCCACAGCTGCCCGCAATAATAATAATTAGGGATGCACAATATTGGGTTTTTGGCCGATACGCCGATATGTTAAAACTTATTTGGCCAATAACCGATACCAATACCGATATATATATATTTTTCCTAGACCTACTTACAGAGACTACATATCTTTCTCTGCTGTGAATTAAAATACTAAATTATTCTGCATGGTCTTTGTCAGTTTGGCCTGACACCAAGTGCAGAAGCCAAAAAGGGGTCTGAAAATGATGTAACATTTCAACTTGGATTATGTTTAATGTCAA